GCTATTGTGCATATGGTCCATGAAGCAAGGTAAAGCTAATCACCACCACTGAAGCACTGATATAGGTTTAAACACCGGACTACCAAGTAGAGTAAAATGACAACAATAGTATCATAAATTAACAGTTGTAAACATCAGTTTTATTTTTTTTTACATGCTTTATTTTTGAGTGTACGAAGAAACTTACACAGATTGACAGTGACATTTGGTGGTAAACAAAGCATGAAATTTCAGGGTAAAAGTTAACGCACAACATGGCATGAGTAACCGCGCTTTTTAAAAAAAAATTAGTAATCCAGTGAGACATGCAAGGTTAAATATAAGTGAGTAGCATGTTGTATATTCTATATATGAATAATGGCAGAAATTCACTCTTTAAGATGAACAAGCATCACTTACTCGCATGAAGCGATTAATTTATCCACTATGACAGTGCCAGGGGCATCACTTGTTAAGATAAAATCAAAAGGCAACAGGCCCAAATTAAAATAAAACCTGAAGATGTATACAAGATAGTCATTATAAGCATGTGATATTAAACCTCCTGTTAAGGAGAAGCGCTGCAGGTTCATGACCCAATATCAGTCAGCCGATTCCCTGGTCCAGGGAAGTGTCTCATGGTTAATTATAAGTTAGTAGCAGGTTGTAAATTCTAGACATGTATAATGGCATAGATTCACTCTTTAAGAATAACAGGTGTCACGTTCTCGCGTGAGTCAATTCAATTATCCATCCTTACAGCGCTAGGGGTAACACGTGTTAAAATAAATTCAAATGGCAACAGGCTCAAATTAAAATAAAACATGCAAACAAGTGTGTGATCCTAAGCCTCTTGTTGAGGGGGAACTGCCGGTCGATGGCCCCCTATTAGTCAGCCTATACCTGGTCTGGGAAACATAAGTATAGAGTCTCACCGTTTTGTTTGTTTTTGGGGAAGTGAAACTATAGGTACTATGCAGAGTTGCAGACGAGTAGTGACACGTGCGCAGCGTTAATTAGTCGTACTTGGTGAGTAGGAGATATTCAGCAATTGAGTGCGGTAAGACTGGTGCAGCGCTTTTAGGTTGTAGATCTGTTATCTGTGCGTGGTCAGTAGTCTGGACCATCCTTGTGGGGGTAGAATCTAACTCCATAAAATAAAACAAATTGTGTATGTTATAGTGCCTAATGTTGTGTGTAGTGTGCACAAATGGGGCGATAGTTGCCGGATCCCAGGCATGGGTTGCAGAGGCAAGCTGCGGTCATGAAAGGCGTAGAGAGTCTGTCGAGAGTCCCAGTGTTCCAAGAAGTAATTTTTGCCTTCTGTAGGTTCCTGATGGGGTAGGAGGCTTCTCCATGGAGCACCATCAGGGTGTGTGACATGTGCCACCGCTAGGATATGTGATGTGTGCGCAGGAGGGTGGTAAACTGTTTGAGGGACCTACGTCAAGCCATAGTGCCCCCGATAGATAGGCATATTGACCTCGAATTGCGTTGAGTACTGCGCCCTTCTCTGGAACCGCACTATCAGGTCCATGGATGCTGCGTCCGGGGCCTGCGCCAGTTTAGGTATCCGGAACATGCCTTCTAGGATAGCTGCTTTTGCCTGTTTGGGGGGTAGCATTGTGCCTCTGGTATCGTGTCCGGTGTCGCGGACCTTAAGATTCTTTCTGCGTCGGGCATTCTTCAGTGCAGCAAATCTTTTTTCAAAGGCTTGGTGCTGTTGCCGTAAGGACTGTACCTTCTGTTGCAGCTGTGCTACCTGTTGCATGCTGCTTCTAGATTCTTGCTCTAGGGCCCCCATGCATCAGTTTTATTTTTATGAAGAATTGGATTTAAAGTGGAATAATTTTTATTGCATAAGTATTGTAGCTACTAAGAGTTCCTTATGAGGGTAGCAAATAATACCACTCTTGTTTCTTTATATTTTATAACATAGGCCTCGATTTAATAGGCTTTCCAAATGCTTCAGTACTGTTGGAAAAACTTTTCAAATTATTTGTCTATTTATAAAAAAAAAGAATACTATGGTGCTCAATTCACATTTAAAAATTTGTGGTACAGGTGTTGGTTATAAAAAAACATTTTAAGCATTGTGGTAGTTGTTGCTGTCTAGCTTTAATCCCATTTCTTATTCTGTTCCACCTCCATATTTGTATGTCTCCTAGAGGTCTAGATGTCCACCCCCAGACCCTTCAGAGATTCTCAGCCCAGGGGGACGAGTACTCTGTCAAAGTGCTTGAAGTGATCTACACAGATGAAATCACTCATGTGGCTGCGGGGCTGAAATGGTTTACATATATCTGTACCAAGGAGCAGAAGGTATGGCTTGGATAAATGCACTGATGTAATCCAAGTTTCATGGAGTCCCTAGAATAATTATTTGCTTTGCAGAAAGCAATGAGAAATATCACATTTCCAACTATGTAACAACTGCTGCTGGCTACTAAACATTCATACTGAAATAAAACTATTTGAAAAGTTCACATACCAGTAATAATACGTATTTAGTAATCACTCTAGAAATAATTAAAGGGACACTATAGGCAGTCCCTACAGACTTTTTGCTGTAAACACTGCCTATTCGAAGAAAAGGCAGTGGTTACATTACAGCGTAAGAACAGCTCTAGTGGCCACTCCTCAGATAGAAGTGCTTCCTGGGTCAGATCTGCACAGTGTATGTAGATGCTGCACTCTGCATGGAGACGCTGAACTTTCCCCATAGAAATGCACTGATTAAATGCATCTCTATTAGGACAAATTCTGTAGCGCTTTACAATGGGTGGACTTACTGTACTGTTACTGTAGGATTGTAGCCTGCTGTAGTGGTTATGATGTGAGGAGTGCCTAGAGATTTACATATTCCGGTAATTTTGAAGCAATGGAAAAAATTTTTCCATTTTTTGTTTCTCCAGGTCTGCTCATCTCTAGGAGCACTCGTGCCTGGATCCCCAGTAATTGGGCAAACTGTTTAGCAGTGGTTTTCCCACTGGGACCAAATTACTTAAATAAAGATTTAATAACACCATCATACGCACGCAACATTTGGGTAGCATAATGTATAGATTAGTTTAACAGTTCTAATGATTTTTTTTATATGACATTAGTAGAGAACCTCTTGGGCCTAGTGCTTACAATTGTGAGGGACCGAATTACAATAACTTATAGATAAAAAGCACTAAAACGGTCATATCTACCTAGTGTATTGTATCTAGTGGTGTTGAAGGGAAATTCACAGCATGCATTTATAAGAAAACACCTTCGATACGCTAAGCTCTGAAATGGCCCCAGCAGCCAGAGGTGAGCCCCAGGAATCTATTGGTTTAACCCTGCTCACGCCGCATTGCGGTCCATGGGGATATATATCCCAGTTTAAAGAGCTGTATGCATTGCTCGGTTTGAACATTGCATATAGCTCACATGTCATTCAGGGGCCATTGAAAATAGTCCCAGCTGGTAGAGCGGTGCCCCAGATATCGATTGATACCTGGGACTCTGTGATGTGAGCAGTTTTAACCCTGCTCAAGCCAAGATGTTAGAATGTGTCAATACACCCAAACAATGTTTTATCTCTGCATAGTTAGGATGTATTGAAACTTGATTCACCAATATTTTCTACATTGAGTCTTTTTCACTTCTAGCTGCAGTTCCATCCTAGGCACAGTTTAACTAAAAACTCTTTCATAAGCTCATTGTAATATATTGTATTAATTGCATAATGATACTTATTTCTTCTGTAAGGATTGCTTATCCACGTTCCATGAGCTGGTACCATTATATTTCAAAGGATATCTGAAACCACCTTTCAATTCTGAAGGCAGGAAATCTGCTGGAATGACTGAAGAGGTAATTTTATTTCCTAACTTGGTACTCTAGTACCATTATCCTAATTACTTATGAATACACAAATACTGCCCAGAAATAAATGTAAGTTATTTTAAATTAATATGAATGTTTGGCTATGTAATATGTTAAATGCCTTTGTTGTCATAACAGCATTGAACTATTGTTATAAGGGACACTGTGTACTAAACATACCATGAACACTGGAGTTTGAAAAATAAATTCTATCTTTAGTCCACAGTTTACTTAAACAATTTTTTTCTAATCTTATACCTAGTTTCTATAGATTTATTGGTTTTTTTTTTGGTCTTGGTGGCACCTCTTCGTTTTCTTTGGAGACTCATGGTTTTAAAATCCCCATCACATATAATTCAACGTTTACCTGTAAATTACCTTAATTATAGTCTTAACTGATTAGTCAAATGCATGTACTGTATATTTTATTTAAGTGTTTTTATTGATTTTTGAAACTGTATTTACTGATTTTATGCTCTGAAACAAGCGTGTAGTCCTTGCTTACAGCCAGGTCCCTTTCACCAGAAACCCCCTGCAGTACATGTTAATGTGAATAAATGGTTCCAGAGGGATTGTTTTGAACAGTTCTTTGGGTGGGCAACCGTGGCTTCCAAGTTGTTGGGGGCAACTGATCAGCCTCTTGACATAAACACACACATTGCCATATGTATTCTCTCCTACTAGTCAGGAAGACCAACTAGTGCTTCCCAGCTGTTGGTGGACTAAGTCATGGGATTTGAAGTCCAATTACATATGGAGAGCACTAGATTGTCTACCTGACAAGGAGTAGAAAATACTGATGTAATCTGCCTATTTTGGTCAATAATGCAAATGGCTTCCAACATCATCTTTTACCCTGACTTATATGAAGAACCGTGTTTACCTCTCACTCTCTTCTTCCAGTGGTACCTGCCGTTGGTAAAGCCATCCTGACGTTACTGGAGCAGCCAAACTGATTACACAGAACAATGTGTGCTTGTTTTAAAGCACAGTTTCCTATAAATGGTATGCCCTGTATTTGCATTTACTTACCTAGATCATTTCCTGATCATCTACATCATCAAGTTGTTCTATTGAGTCTCACATGAGCAATTCTTGATTTTAATATTTAAACCAGCAGGACTGCTGTTTTACAATATATTTTTATGGAATTTAAAACAGATCTTTGATCACAATGCTGATTTGCAAAAATGTTTTTATTAAATAAAAATGTTTACTTACTTAAACTCCAGATGAATTGTTTAAAACAGCTTCCCAAATAGCATATTGCATCTGATTTCTCTGGGTGTCAACACGAAATAATCAACATGTCCATGGTCTATCTGGTTTAGGAGAGGCAGCATTTTAATACTGTAGCTCCTGGCAATCCCTTCTTAAATGTGCACACTAGCAGATTGTTAATCCCTGATATTTTAAGTAAAATTATATTTTATATTAAGAGTTGTGTATGAAATGTTCATTTGTCTTGTAGCATTTTCCTGCAATTGTGACAATTTCCACCATGAACCAGGGCATGTAAGTGCTCTCTTCCAAAAGCTGCATTTAGTTGAATATCTCCAGTTAGCCATTGAGTGCAAGAATACATAACATCACCGTACTGTATTTCTCAGCGATGCTTGTTTCGGTTTGGAAACCTTGACTTTGGGGGGCAGGTACAGTGTGTGAAACCTGCATGTCTCCAGCTGAACACTTGGCTTCTGTACAAACCACTGGTGCAGATACCCATTGTAGAAGTCCTTGGCAGACAATTTTTTCTTTAAAATTACTGTTTTAATTCCAACCCAGCCATCCTGTCAAATAAAGCCAGATGTTAGCATTTCGGACAGAACCACTTTACTTACCAGTTACCTGCTTAATGATATAACTTCAAATATAAATGTTAACATTCGTCAACAAGGAAGCCCTTGATATGATACAATTTAATTTTTTTTTACATTATATTGTTTAATTCTAAATAAATAAGACTTCCCTACTGGGAAAATAAATGTGCATCTTACACTGTCAAAAGCTCTGCAATATTGAACTGTATGCACATTTACATATTGGCATTGATCCAGAACACGTACCTTGCATCGTACAATCAGTAACTCTGGCCCTCGCAAGTATCGAATAGAACCAGGCACATCAACCTTTTCTACAGGAATATAAAACACAATAGTATGTAATAAATGTGTATACATTTACTATATATGGGGTGGGGTCTTAATGTGTGTTTTGTGTATGAGGGTGAGTGTGGGGGGGATTGAGTTACTAGGTTGAGTATATGTGGATACAGCTAGATCTGTCTACTGATGACTGCATCTCTTATGTTTCTAAATGAACATTGTGGTTTTTCCCTCCAAACCAGATTTACCTTTCTTTCTTGGAAATTAAAAAAAAAAAAAAAAAAGGATGGGGGTAATTAATGAAAAGGGGGCTATAGTAATCTCTGGCACAGTTACAAATGAAAAACACTGTGGGAATGATGGTGTCTAGGCACAACTATAAGACCACAGAGAATAATCTGTATAGTAAAATATGAGGCTTTGTGTTATAAATTGTTTTGTGCCTCTGGGAGTGCATTACAGGCCAAGTACCAATCATTTGCAAGGTTCCTTTTTATACAGAAAACTGTCATCTGCAGTATGTGACACCTTAATATTTTTTGTATACAGCACGTGGTTAATTGCATCAAGCTGCACATGCTGCCAATTACAAACAGTATTATGCTTTACAGACACAAAGCCTTTGAATGAGACCGTTGTCTGAAACATTCATGTCCTTTTAGTGTTGTGGGCAATATATTAGTTCTGATGATGCCCTTGTACCTTGAGTTTGACATACCTAAGCTAAAGTATTCAGTCATGGCAAATGAAATATGAAAGGAACTTTAATCCTAACATATCATTACTTCTATCTATTGTGTACGTTCCCTTCCTATTGCCATTTTGATAAGTGCTATTTGCAGTCTTCTAATAAAGGTCTTGATATATGTTTGGATAAACTTTGAAAATGTTTTAATATTTTGATAGTATATTGTGGAAAAAAAGTAATTTTGAGTGTATCCAATACAATTAAATCACTTGAAAAGCTTATCCAGAAATAAAAAAAGTCTGAAATCTGAAACAAACAACAAAAGTTACTAAAGATGGCTTCCTTGTTTATGTTTAAGAGTACTGCAAAGAAAAATTCTTAACTCTACAGAAGGCTTAGAATAAAGATACTTTCACATAGTAGGCCCGCTTCCCATTCATACATTCTTTTACCTCTTCTGTAACTCGAAAATAATAAAACATGTAGGAAAAAAAATGCATAGGGAGGGAAATATTTCATGCTGGAAAATATAGGTGACAAAAATGAAGATAAGTGGTAAAAATCCACAGAAATTAAGACGTTAAATATGGCAATTTTAATTAGAATTGGTTTACAGTGCAGTAGTGTAAAGACACCTTGAACTATACTGACCTTGAATGTTTAATGCAGAAGGAACCTCCACAAAGTTGATGAGTTTAATTGAAGAACCCATCCATACCGTCTGCAATGGCATCTGTTGAAAAATAAATGGTCACAATGAGCAGATGGACTATTACAAAATATACACTGCTTAAAAAAATAAAGGGAACACTTAAACACAATGTAACTCCAAGTCAATCACACTTCTGTGAAACCAAACTGAGGAATCAACACTGAGTGACCATCAATTTCACATGCTGTTGTGCAAATGGGATAGAAAACAGGTGGAAATTATAGGCAATTAGCAAGACACCCCCAATAAAGGAATGGTTCTGCAGGTGGTGACCACAGACCACTTCTCAGTTCCTATGCTTCCTGGCTGATGTTTTGGTCACTTTTGAATGCTGGCGGTGCTTTCACTCTACTGGTAGCATTAACCAGAGTCTACAACCCACACAAGTGGCTCAGGTAGTGCAGCTCATCCAGAATGGCACATCAATGCGAGCTGTGGCAAGAAGGTTTCCTGTGTCTGTCAGTGTAGTGGCCAGAGCATGGAGGCACTACCAGGAGACAGGCCAGTACATCAAGAGATGTGGAGGAGGCTGTAGGAGGGCAACAACTCAGCAGCAGGACCGCTACATCCGCCTTTGTGCAAGGAGGAGCACTGCCAGAGCCCTGCAAAATTACCTCCAGCAGGCTACAAATGTGCATGTGTCTGCTAAAACGGTCAGAAACAGACTCCACGAGGGCCCGACGTCCACAGGTGGGGGTTGTGCTTACAGCCCAACACCGTGCAGGACGTTTGGCATTTGCCAGAGAACACCAAGATTGGAAAACTCGCCACTGGCGCCCTGTGCTCTTCACAGATGAAAGCAGGTTCACACTGAGCACATGTAACAGAGTCTGGAGATGCCGTGGAGAATTTTCTGCTGCCTGCAACATCCTCCAGCATAACCGGTTTGGCAGTGGGTCAGTAATGGTGTGGGGTGGCATTTCTTTGGGGGGCCGCACAGCCCTCCATGTGCTCGCCAGAGTTAGCCTGACTGCCATTAGGTACCGAGATGAAATCCTCAGACCCCTTGTGAGACCATATGCTGGTGCGGTTGGCCCTGGGTTCCTCCTAATGCAAGACAATGCTAGACCTCATGTGGCTGGAGTGTGTCAGCAGTTCATGCAAGACGAAGGCATTGATGCTATGGACTGGCCCACCCGTTCCCCAGACCTGAATCCAATTGAGCACATCTGGGACATCATGTCTCGCTCCATCCACCAACATCATGTTGCACCACAGACTGTCCAGGAGTTGGCAGATGCTTTAGTCCAGGTCTGGAAGGAGATCCGTCAGGAGACCATCCGCCACCTCATCAGGAGAATGCACAGGCGTTGTAGGGAGGTCATACAGGCACGTGGAGGCCACACAAACTACTGAGCCTCATTTTGACTTGTTTTAAGGACATTACATCAAAGTTGGAGCAGCCTGTAGTGTGTTTTTCCACTTTAATTTTGAGTGTGACTCCAAATCCAGACCTCCATGGGTTGAAAAATTTGATTTCCATTTTTTTCTTTTTGTGTGATTTTGTTGTCAGCACATTCAACACATGTTGTAAAGAACAAAGTATTTCAGAAGAATATTTCATTCATTCAGATCTAGGATATTTTATTTTTGTGTTCCTTTTATTTATTTTTGAGCAGTATAATAAAGGTTTAGAACAGGGAGTTTATATAAAATATAAACACATATGTAAAGGTGGGAGCCTGATGTTGTGGGAGGGGATAGTCTAGCTAGTTACAGAACCCTCCTCCATTTGGCATATCGTGGTCTGCTTGTCACGTCACTCCTCCCTCCACTCCCAATTTCTGAACACATATTTCATAGATTGGCGCTCTTTATTTTACAGGCCTACCGCTATATCTGTGTCCGCACACCACATACTACTTCTATGTTATGGCCTTTGGGTACAGACCACAAATTTGTGTGTATATATATATATATATATATATATAAAATTTCCACGATCCAAGCACTCTAGTTCCCAGTCTTTAATGATGTTCCGGTGCCAACTCCAGCCATAGTTTAGGAAAGAAGTTAAGTGCACTCTGGAGACTATAGTAGTACAGTAGAAATGCTTTTATTTAGCACAAATAAACCTCAATGTTTCAGTCCTCCTGGACTTTTCTCAAGACAACTGCTAAGTGCCAGATAACGGTTGTATGTAATGGGGTGATAGTTATGTGAGGACAGAAATCATCAAAGAGCATAATTCAGTGATAGTTTCAGTCACAAAAAGGAGGAATCTCACATTTTGTATGCAATATTCATATAATCTACACTGCAATTAATTATGCCTGTTAATGTGAGAGGCCGCCTCCTTTTTATGACTGAAACTATCACTGAATTATGCTCTTTGATCATTTCTGTTCTCACATAACTCACCCCACTTTCTGTCGATCCAGTCTTCTTCTTACTTGGTCTCCACTTATATCTTATAGAGCTAATTGTTTCTTTGTATATTTTTTTTTCTTACCTACACTCACATGGTTAAATTTGGTATGACAACGACATCTCTGACATCACCAGTCTTGCTCTCACCTATTCACCCACAGATTATCTCACAGCTTGTGTGTATATATATAAGTTATCTGGCACTTGGCACTTGTCTTGAGAAAAGTCCAGGAGGAATGGGGGGTGTAATATATATATATATATGGTGTGTTTTTTTTTTGTCTATTTTGTGCTCTATAAAAGTAAACAGGGTAGAGAATTGCAGCATCTTTATCTGAACTTTAAGGCTTGATCACTCCTTTCCACAGTGTTCTTTTAAGCGTATAAGAGCCAGTAAAATAACCTAATGCAACTAATCAAGCTGGTATGTAGGACATTGGTTGATCCTTTGTCAGTCTTGAATAACCATACAGTTGTATCAGAGAACATTGATGTCATATACTGTTGGTTCCTTACTGCAAATCCAATCGCACGCTCTAGGCGTAAAATGTCCTCTGGGCGCTGTTCTTCCCACCTCACGCAGCTCATGGGTGCAGAAACTTTGGGGGCTACAATATAAATGAGAGGACAAAAAAAAATCCAGTGAAGAATGCATATATATCATAAGGAAAATTATAGTAAATAGAGTATGCCCATAAAAAAATAAGTTGGCATGCTAGAAGAGATAAGTCAGAAAAGATAAAGTAGGACAACATGAATAACACACAGGGCCAGATTAACATAGAGGCTGATGGAACTGCAGCTCCAGGCACATGGAATAGGCCCATTGATATAAAATAAAAATTCCCCCCCCTTTTTTTATTTTACACACTTCCTTACACCTGGCTGCCATTTCTCCGGTATTTGAGGCTGCCTAGCCGGTGCCGGTATTGCAGTAATACCAGCAATACAAATGTCAGTGTAAACAGATTATTCTGCAATATCAGCTCCCGCCAGTAGGGGTCGCTGTGTGTGCAGGAATAGGAAGTTACAGCATCTCCCTCTCTCTACTAACTGATCCACAGGGGAGCAGCTCAGCACAGACAGTCCAGACAGCAGCTCCAAGCTTGCAGAGACAGCCTACAGCTCAGTTAAGTGAGGGATGGGAGGGGAAAGGCTGCAGGGAGACATGGGGACACTGGGAGACAAAGGGACACTTGGGGAACACTGAGACAAAGACACATAGGGACACTTGGGGACATTAGGGGACACTAGAGGACGGTTAGAAACTTGGGTACACTGGGACACCCCATGTCTCACAGTGTTCCCTAGTGACATGGGGACACAGACTAAGAGACACTATAGGACACTGGGCGACTTTGAGACCTGGGAGACATGGGGCAGTCCCAGTTTCCCAATGTCTCCCAGCCAGTGTCCCCATGTCGCTCAGCTTCCATAGTGTGCCAGTGTCTCAGTGTTTCCTAGTCTCCCAGAGTCACCTAATATAAAAGAAAAAACCTCAGGCACTCATTGTGATAGATTTAAGCAGGTTTATTGGACAACGCAACGTGTCGACCTCTACCCAGGTCTTTATCAAGTCTCCAGTGTCCCCCATGTCTCAGTGCTCCAGGTCTCCCAGTGTCCCTGGTGTCACCTAGACTCCTAGTGCCCCCAAGTGCCTGTGTCCCCTAGTATTAAAGAAAACATCTCAGACACTCACTGTGATAGATTTAAGCAGGTTTATTGGACACCGCAATGTTTTGACCTGTACCCAGGTCTTTATCAAGTCTCCAGTGTTCCCTATGTATCATAGTGTCTCAGTGCCCCATGGCTCCCAGTGTCCCTTCCTATCTCAAAGTCACCCAGTGTTCCCATGTCTCTCAGTGTCCCCTAGTGACAGTGACATAGACACTAAGGGACATTGGGAGACATAGACATGCCCCCTTTTTGGATATGTTCGCCCCTTTCGGCAGTTGTGGTTACGTGATTTGCGCCAGTGGCCCACCCTTTTATCCTGTCCATAGACTTCCTGCTTCACTAGACACTGCTGTTAGAGTGTATGAATTTACATGAAAGCATGAGATAAACATAGGGTATGTTTTTTCTCATAGCTGCATCCTATGAGTTTTCCTCCAGCACCATCTCCATCAGATACATGACGCTTGGGAGGTAGGACTGTTTTCGTGTTATTGGTCGATAAGACTATGTAATTAGGCCCATCATAATTGTCATCACCAGGCCCACTATGCTCTTAATCTGGCCCTGATAACACCTCACAATTAGGAGTTTGGAAAATGCCATAGCAGTCCAAAATTAAAGCTGTATTTGGATTATGTTTCTTGGAAAACAACAGATTTGTTTTAGGGTCTTACATTTTCAATTGTTTTAACAAAATAGTGAAATTCATACTAACTTTACACCTATATTTCCCATATAAAGCAGGCATTAGGTCTAGTTTGCCAAGTTATACTAATTAGTTACCAATGTACCATTTTAAAATACCACCTACCACCATAGAGAGTCTGCTACACAAAACATGCAGGCAAGTGACTGCTTTGCATGGTCCCATCTTAGCCATAACTAAGTGGATCATCCTTTGCTGAGTAATACCTTACATTTTGTCACAAACACCACCTACTTCACACTAGAGCCTCAGTTGTAAGCTTGAAAGTGCAGGTCCTGTTGGACTAAAGCCCTTGGTCTTTATGTCACCTAGTAACATCCCTGCATTTCACGTAAAGCTTGCTTAACTGTATGTCAACTTGTTTAAACCATGTTTCCCTGTTCTACAGTACAGTGCTGTTTAATTCTATGATTTTGTTTTGTAAGATTTACACTTACTTTGTAGTTTCAGTATGTTGCAACAGGTCTAATAACTGTACACAAGATATATCTACATTTTAATGAAGCACTCTATACACCATAACCACTGTAGCTCGTTGTAGTGATTATGATGAAATTGTTCTATGAGCATTTCCCCTAATTTTCTGTACA